AAAGTACCAGAGATATAATGGTAATGCTTTCGTGATCAGATGTGGCTAGTAATGTAATGATAATATTTTCTGCCATTAACATGTTTTATCAAGTTGTTGTTGGCATTTTATGATAACTTCAAGTTTCAGACTAAGAAAACCTGTCGTTTACAGTATACTCCACGAGCACGAAGAATGAAATATGGAGATGATTTGTTATCCAACATCGGTTAGTCATATTTTTTTTGCTGAATTTAAATGTGTATTTCAAGTACTGTATATCATGGCACGTAAATATATTGAAAATTTTTGTCATCTGTGCTAGAAACAATGATAAGCTAGTAGGGATAGGTGAAAGAAATTCATTAGTTTTATTGCAGATGAAGAAGAAATTGCAAGCACCTCATCAAAAGATGCAAAAGGACAGACAGCTAGTGACAGCACAAACATATCATCAGGTGATGGGCGCCCCGCATCGCAATCTCGCCGTAAGCAAGATCTCTCAACAATCCGCGAAAATAATGATGAAGTTATGGTATGTTGATTGTTTGTTAGTTGCGGGACAAGTTATTTGTGGTAAGTAAAATGTTTTGGTAGCGCAACTAACAACGTCTGCTTGACACTTATTTTTGTTGATTTGTTGTTTAATATACGCTTAATTTGAAGTTCAAATCAGCTTGCAGTAAACTTAAGAAGTTAATGAATTGCCTCCATTTTTTTTGATATTTTTCTTTAGATTGTGCGTTATTCAAACGGTGAAGCATCTCTCCCGAAGGATCTCTCTGAGATTCCTGTTTACCTTACTGAGACACAACGTGATTTATTTTTCTCATTTATCCGTCCTGCTTCCCCTTCAAGTGATGGCGCATCAAGTGCTCATAAGTGCATGCAATGCGGTGACATTATTGCGAATATATCGGTGAGTCTTATTAATGAATATTCTAGAAAGTTGTTAAGAGAAACCAGAATTTGGAATCATCGACAATTTTCGAGCGAAAAGATTATGATGAATGTACGTGTCTTAACTTCCATGAAGTAGTATGGTCTAGTATTGCACTATCAACATATATTACTGTACATTGAATTCCTAGACATTCATGATAATGGTGCCTTCATTTCATCTTATCAGTTTTGTGAATGGTACTGGTATCGCCTGATTCATTTCAATGAAATGGGAAATTTCAGGAGGGACGGCGGCATGCTGTGAGTCATTTGCGCATCATGCGTTTGCGTTGCTCATTGTGCGGGTGTGGTTCATTTTTCTGTTCCGACATGCGAACTCACTTGCAATACAGACATTGTGATAAATTGCATCTTGCACCAAGAGGATACGTACTGCCGGGCAACGTCCTGCCGTGTATGACACAGAGACAAGTAAGAAGCGACGTATAATATTTAGATTTTCATCGAAGTTTTTTTTTCATTTTTTTATTGCTGTTTGTAACGTAACATCTGTATTAACTGATATGAAATTATAGGTAGTATTTTTCAGATTGAGAAAAGTCGGTGATTTCATAAAAATTGACATTTAACGGGATGAAAAATCTATAATCGATTTATTTTCCAGGCCGATGACCTCACTCGAGTTGTGGATGCAATGAAGCCAGGTCGTGTAATGTATACTTCGGGGAAAGTTGGTTTTTTCTGACTTGCTAATTTCATATTTATATAATTTTTTTCTCGTTTTAAATAATGCGTTTTCTGTGTGGCGCAAAATTTACTTTTTACTGTGCTAATTGAAATTCAAATGTTGGTTTTTCTGCAGATTATTAGCTCAACTAATCCAAAACCATATTACCCGGATCCGATAATTGAAGAGCGCGTTCTGGGCACACTTTTACCGGAAATCGACGCTAGTAGTGACCAGGGTCGAAATATTTCAACAAGTAGCACAGGAAGTGTCAACACTGTTGTTGGAAAATCGTAATAATGTTTAATTAGGTATTATTTTGTGTGTCGCCCACTAAATTGTTTATTTTAGACAAATTTCGAAAAAAAAACTAATATCGTTGTTATGGACCGAGAATTTGAAAAATTGTCCAAGTTAGAAAAAAAATATATTTTTTATTGAGCTGTTCAAAGAGTAACTGATCAATTTTCGAAAAAAAAATCCAGTATACAGGGACTCCGTCCAGTGTTTTGCGTCAGATATTTATATTAACCAACTAGAACTTAGTAGCATGCATTATAGATGGAATTTTTGTTCGTATTTTGTTTGAATTTTCGGCGGTATTGAGTGCACGGGTCTTTGATCTCTTTGAAGCATAAAGTTTCCTGTCGTAGTCACCTTCTGACAATCCGCCTTGGTGAGCCATTTAACTGACACAACTTTTTCTCTGGATTATATGTGTGTTCTGCTCTTCGTCCATAATAAACAATTTTTAAGTTTGAAACAAAATCCTCTTCATTAATAACGAGTGTTGACTTAAAATTAGTGATGTCAATGTCAACTTTGAACAGCATTTTTACTACACATCGGTTTTACTTACTGGTTTCACTGTGCAGAATACTGATATGGTATAAATGTCAAATTGTAAGGCTAGTTTCTTTCATTCCTGAATGATTTCCTGGAGTTTTAATTTCCTTCCCATAAGCCATGTTGGGCTATGTTCATGTCATTCATAGGCATCATAATGTTCATCGTTGTTCTTTTTCTTAAATTCATCTTTTGTCGAATTAAACAAAAATCTTTATATACTTTACTTGATTAATAATTTCTATTCACCATTTTCTTATTATTGCCAAACAGTTATCTCTGTATCAATATGTTAATGGCTGTTATCCTAATTTTATTTTATAGGGCAAACCTCAAATTTTGGTCATAATGTTATTTCTGTTTAAATTTACATTTTTGTTTAAATATTTTCTTTTCGGTAAATCATTTTCATTTAAATCTCTATGATGGAGTACTACATTAGCTTAAGCGAATTTTAATTTTTATTCATATATTTATATCCATTTTAGTCAATTCTTTTTTTCCGTTCTCATGAATTATATTGTTTTTATATTTGCTTTAGTAATTTCTTTACCACTGTTCAAATATATTTCATTGTTCATTCAGATGCGCTTCTAGCAATACTTTTATTTTACTTTAAATAAATTACGCTGTTCTCATCTTTTTCAAATAAACAATTTACATTCGTTAAAATAAATTGCATCATTTATTCGCATACAATTTCCAACAAATTATTCATACCCTTCGGTTGAACTTTTACTTATATTACTTTTTTTGAAACATTGCTTATTACCAAATAAAAAGCTGTAGAAATAGGTGGAACGAGTGGAAGAGAGAGAGGGGGAGAGAGAGAAGTTGATAAGTTCCGTGGACATTTGATATATGTGGTATACTCTGACCGCTTCAGTCTGTGAGGATCTATTTTTGATGCAGTAACCTGTGAGATTATCCGAGGGTTGGAGAGAATTGATTTAAAAACTCAGTCGAATAAATTTAAAATATTTGATTCTCCTGTAGTTTCTCGTCAGTGGTTTTTCATCTCTTTTAATGATAATGAATATTGATGTTGTGATGAAGTTCGTTTAGGAAATACCATTTTTATCAGAGTTGTTTGGATTGTTTCTAGAATGATTTCTAGTATTGCATGAGAAATGCTTAAGAAGAGTATTTTAATTTCGAATGTGGAAGTGGAGTGGAAAAAATGAGATTAGTGATATGGTATATAGATTAGTGATGGGATGTGTACATATCTATCAGTGATATCCCTGTATCACTTGATGATTAATCCCTTGTATGTTTATACTATTCTGTTAAATTTAAAAAAATTTAGTTAAACTTTGCTGATGGAAATTGCCAAAACTCGGTATATAATTTCTCAGTACATAGTAGATGAACATCTTTGGTGTTGAACATACTGACTGCCAGCCTTCTTTAGACATTTTTAATTTGAGCAAAAACGTATTTTAACCGTTACCTGAAGGAACAAAGGAGGAAGTTCTTGATTTTACCGGGAAAATCGTCCATTGAATGATATTAGATTTCCTAAGATTAATTTTCATATTCACTGGCTATTGTAATTGTGGAATGCTCCTAGCAACGAGTCAGGATATTATTAATGTCTGCGACAGAAACCATGATTCTGCAAATGGAGTTTGAGAAAAATAATTATCAATAACCAGATCAGAAATCTCACTCTCTGCATGTTAGCTGGATCCCTTGAATTTGCGAGTTAATTTTTTCCGGATTTGAGTCAGCGAAATTAAATCGTTCCTTTTGCAAGTCGAAATAATGTAAAGTATTAACTGTACAAGTGTAATATATTTGCAGGTTTATAATGTTTTCTACTAGTACCCAAAAGAAAGAATGGACATTTTCGTCACAGCAGGATCTTTTGGATTTAAGGTTCCTTTTTTTTTTTTTTTTTATTGTAAAAAAGTAGAAGTTAGGGAATACTTTTTTTCTCCATTTTGCAAAATTCGTTCAAGATTATGACAAATAAGCCAAAGAATAGTTAACAAATAAATAAGACATTATTTTTTATTTCTAGAAAAGCAGCAAATGAGAAATTCCGAGCAAAATATGAAACAGTAGTTGGTGCTGATCAAAACGATATATTTTTGACACCTGATGAAGAAGCACTACTGAGGAACATTGTCACGGAAACTGGCATTAGGTTTGTTATACCTTCGCAAAGAATCTTTAAAGTAGGAAATTCTTGAAGCTGATTGAAGCATTAATTAAAGTACATATTTAAACAACAGATATTATAAACTTCTCTATTTTTTTCATTTGTTATTGTTCCACCATTCTAAAACAATTTACATTGAATGATGAAGTAGTTAGATTTTGAAACTACATTTCTATATGGGGATCTTCTGAAAATGAAGGTCCCTTCCACCTATGCTATGATATAAAAGTAGGATTGTATTCGTTTTACATATTTGATGCAGATGAGGTACGAATATCGCATACGTGTTATCATTAATCTCTCATGATTAACACCCTTTTCTAAGGAAACATTATTTTGTAAACTCTTCTTTGCACTGAAAAAGTTTTTCCAAGGTTACAAATGATTTTATTTCTTCAAGGTTTGCGGATGATTTCCGTCCTGCAATGTGGCCATCAACCCGTTGGACAGCGTTCGCATATTTTAAACGATTCTTTCTGTATCACTCAACGATGGAATACTCACCAAAAAGTGTAATGATGTCCTGTTTTTATTTAGCTGCAAAAGTTGATGAATTCAATATATCTATCGATGAATTTGTTAAGAATTTGAAGTTAGTTTTTATCTTCTTTCTTATTTCTATCTTCCTCAGACATAAGCATAGTAAATCTTACTCGGTGCTGAATGTACTTTCGCCTTTTCACTGTTATCCGACCGGTGTTATCTGTTATTCGATCGCTGGAAAATCAATCATTTATTTCCTGAAACTTTAGGTCCGGCACTGCTAAATCAAATTCTGAAACGATTTTATCATTCGAGCCGCAGATAATGTTGAAATTGCGGTATCAACTGACGGTACACTCACCGTTTCGACCATTCGAAGGGCATTTGATCGAAATGAAAACACGTTCATTGTTAGGTTTCGATTTGGAACAAGTGCGACCGCATGCTAACGATTTTTTCAGGGTTTGTATGCTTCAATATCTGACTGATCTTCAAACTTTTTTGCTGCAGTTTAACTAACTGTTAAAGTTGAACGTTTTCTTTTCCAGAAAGCATTATTCGGTGATGTTATGCTTCTCTACCCGCCATCACAAATTGCACTTGCTGCTTTAAAATATGCCCTGCATATGCTAGGTTGGTTAAAGCACTTTTTTTTTCCAATTTTTACAGAAGGTGCGGATATATTATTTGTTCGCGAGTCTTCAGAAACTGTTTAAACCTCACAATAAGATTTATTGGATGTCAGTTTGCTTCTTTTTCCGGCTTTTTTCTTCAATTAATGTCTATAGGTTCCGTTGCAGATTCGTTTTTGAACTACTTTTTCTCCTGAATTGCTAGATTTGAATTTAGATAAGGCAGATGATTTGTTAAAAGATCAGTTCCTTAATAAGATGCTCGAAATCGATACGTGGAAGTCGCAAAGCGATGATGTTTTAATATGTGAAAAATTGATTGCTCGACTTGATGAAATCATACAGTGCGTACTTGATGGCTGTAAGCCCATAGCACCCGAAACAAATGAAGCATTACAGGTAATGCTTATTTTCATTGTTGAATTCCAAAATTATTGAATATTCTCAAGAACATCATTAGACTTTAAAGGTAGACGTGTTGTAATGGCATGTAATAATTTGGGAACTAAACTGTTGAAAAGTACACTTAAATATTCAGTAGTATATATTCCAAACTATAATATACATTTTTAAATGTTCAAGAATCAAGCTTATGCTCGAAAAAAAATATAAGACGTATGCCCGTATTGGATTTTTCAAGATAGTGTTATTCACTATGTTCAAAATATTTTACTATTACTAAGGCTATAATCTGTAAAAAAAGTCATCTTCTACAATAATTTATTCTACATCCTATCATGTACGCTTAAAAAAATTCCTCTGTTTTTCCCTTTCAAATATAAAAAAAAAAAAGTCCTCTCAATATAAATTATCCATAACAAATCCGGTCATTATCCCTGTGCATCAAACTGTAGTTTATTATATAATGTATTCCTTCATTTTGCAGAGTCATATGGAACGTTGGGTGAAAACTTTTCCTGAGCTAGAACGGAGATTATCCGATTTGAATGCTAGCCTCCAATTAGAGAATTCTAATTCAAATACCGCTTTTTCTGATGACGATTGAAGTTTTGCGTACTGCGTGTGATGATTTGATGTCTTTCTTCCTGGTGCTGTACAGTTTAATTCCTGATGCTTTTGAAGTTGTTTACATATTTTTAGTTGATGAAAAGAAATTTCCACGCATATAGACAAAAGCATTTCACAGCTGCATATCACCTCACTATGAAGTCGTCAGGTGAAAGAACAATAAAAAAAAAAAAGA